TGTTATCTCAATTTTATCGCATTACCTTCCAGAAACCTAATCCTCTAAAGCGAGGTACTGTTTCGTCACTCGTAGGCCGCTAATAATGTTCGAAATAACAATCGAACCAAGCCTATTCTCAATTTGTAAAAAGAATATGGAAATAAAGGGTTAAATAATTAACTTATTTACTAGTTTATTCTTCCACTATCCAGATCCTCGAATGTGTGTGTAAAGTGGTCATCAGAATTCTTATTTTCGACATTTGATTACTTAAAACATTAGATTTGATTAATTGAATTCTAAAGTGCGATGCTGATAAGACACGGCAAATATTTGCAAAAATATATAACAAATTAGCAGAATATAGCAAATTGGCAGAAAAACCGCAATTGTACACAGTGAGTTCAAACTTTTGAAACATGTAAGACTGTGCAGAGGGAGCTAGATTATGGTTGTACCGGCGATAGCAAGAAGCATTATCTATATTATCTGAAGAGGAACGATAAGTTCTCTTGTGGTAATATTTTAACAATTTATATTCCTTCATAAATCTGCCAATAAAAGAAGTAGTAACTGTGGCTATTAAAATTGATAAAATTGTGACAAAACTTCTTTACGTTTCGATAATGTTTCAATAAAATCGATTGTTACGGAAGCTATTATTACCACTATTAAAGAATAATATTCGAAGCACGAGACGACAAGACTGATAGTTGAAGACACCCATCGCTGTATAAATGACAATGCACCGTTTGAATTCGCATAAGTGCACAGTACAATACGTGTTCCAGTTCGGAATAACAAGAAATAACACGCAACTATGAAATCTGCAAAATTTGCTATTGCTGCAGCAGCCACGCTGACGTTCTCTTTAATTTCTTACGCGACAACGTATGCTGTAATATATTTTATATTTGATCATTTTCGATTTTGTTAAAACAAAAACAACTTACGATACCGCCTAATATTATTTTTCAGGACGCTGAAGCTATAGACCCGGGAACTGTGAAATCCCTTCTTGGTCGCTAACTCGAAACACTAGATAAAGAACTATGAAGATTCCTAATTTGTCAAATGTACTACGAATATTTCTAATTAATTAAAAATACTAAGAATGTTCCGAAAGTTAAAAGTACTCTGAATGTTCCTAATTTGTTAAAAGAATTATGAAAATAAAGGAATAATTAATCAACTATGTAGTCACTATAAACCCACCCCAACAACCCCATAGTTCATTTATCCAAGAAATAGCTTGAAAAATAATTGCAGACTTTAATTACTTAGTGGAATATTACCAGTGTATAGTAAATATTGACAAAACAATCTGACAGTAAATGTAATTCAGTTGTAATTGATATTTTTGATAACAATTAAAACTGTCTATGTTACGAGGGAGTACAAAGATTTGTAGCAATAACCTGACGAGTATAAATGTTCCATCGTTCTTACAACTCGGAATAACATTTCGTTCTCTCATCATCAATATTTAATCGTTCGAGTAAATGTTGGAACACGATTAATATACATTACTTTCTTCTTTTAAGAAATGATTACAATCAAAAAAATTCTGATCATTGTAACTGTGAAGATAGCTTTAATAGTTTTAATAGTTTTAATAGTTGTATATAATAGTTTTAATAGTTCTAAGATATGATTACAATAAAAAAAATTCTAATAATTACAATGATACGGCAAGGAGTTAAAATCGGTAACCCATGCACGTGAAACACTTGCATAAATAGCGATGCAATGCTCCATTCCGCACGAGAGCACAAAAATACGTGATCCATATTGCATCGACAGAAAATATCGCGTGAAAATAAGAATTACACTTGCTGTAGCATGTTCACTGATGATTTTATTAATTTCCTATGCGACTAAAGAAACTGATTCGGTAATACATTTTACAGTGTACCCTTACATAACCCTTACCGATCGTTGATAAAAAACATAAATCGGAACGCAATGTAAAAATGTTTCTAAATTCTTGAAAAAAAAACATTCAATTAAAGTATTAACTAATTACTACGTAATCGTTAGTTCTGCTCGCTCTCGATTCTTAAAAATATCGTTAATGCAGTTGCGAAGTAAAAGTTTCGAAAGGATTTGCAGGACTTAAAAACTCCTGTAGAATTAAAAACTTTTAAACAATTCAATGATTTGAACAATTGAATTTTTGAACGCGATATTACCACGACGCAGAAAATATTCCGAACAAACAATACTAAAAAAAAATCGTGCACTCCTATTATTGTTAAACTTCAGCTATAAATTCGATAATGTTTATGGTCGTTAAAAACGATAAATTTGTTTATCACACCGAGCAAGTAAACGTTTTCACGTGGTTCACTTGTATAAATAGCAAAGCAGCGTCCGATTTCGCATCAAGTGCAAAAAAGTACACGTTCCATTTTACAAAAATGGAAACTAACAAGTGAGAATGAAAGCTGCAAGATTTGTCCTCGTTATAGCAGCAACTGTAATGGTTTCGATGGTTTCCTATGTGACCGCTGAAGCTGATCCTGTGGCGGACCCGGTAATATATTTTATACTATTCGATTTGCTATAAATTTCCTGTTATCTCAATTTTATCGCATTACCTTCCAGAAACCTAATCCTCTAAAGCGAGGTACTGTTTCGTCACTCGTAGGCCGCTAATAATGTTCGAAATAACAATCGAACCAAGCCTATTCTCAATTTGTAAAAAGAATATGGAAATAAAGGGTTAAATAATTAACTTATTTACTAGTTTATTCTTCCACTATCCAGATCCTCGAATGTGTGTGTAAAGTGGTCATCAGAATTNTGTAATTCAGTTGTAATTGATATTTTTGATAACAATTAAAACTGTCTATGTTACGAGGGAGTACAAAGATTTGTAGCAATAACCTGACGAGTATAAATGTTCCATCGTTCTTACAACTCGGAATAACATTTCGTTCTCTCATCATCAATATTTAATCGTTCGAGTAAATGTTGGAACACGATTAATATACATTACTTTCTTCTTTTAAGAAATGATTACAATCAAAAAAATTCTGATCATTGTAACTGTGAAGATAGCTTTAATAGTTTTAATAGTTTTAATAGTTGTATATAATAGTTTTAATAGTTCTAAGATATGATTACAATAAAAAAAATTCTAATAATTACAATGATACGGCAAGGAGTTAAAATCGGTAACCCATGCACGTGAAACACTTGCATAAATAGCGATGCAATGCTCCATTCCGCACGAGAGCACAAAAATACGTGATCCATATTGCATCGACAGAAAATATCGCGTGAAAATAAGAATTACACTTGCTGTAGCATGTTCACTGATGATTTTATTAATTTCCTATGCGACTAAAGAAACTGATTCGGTAATACATTTTACAGTGTACCCTTACATAACCCTTACCGATCGTTGATAAAAAACATAAATCGGAACGCAATGTAAAAATGTTTCTAAATTCTTGAAAAAAAAACATTCAATTAAAGTATTAACTAATTACTACGTAATCGTTAGTTCTGCTCGCTCTCGATTCTTAAAAATATCGTTAATGCAGTTGCGAAGTAAAAGTTTCGAAAGGATTTGCAGGACTTAAAAACTCCTGTAGAATTAAAAACTTTTAAACAATTCAATGATTTGAACAATTGAATTTTTGAACGCGATATTACCACGACGCAGAAAATATTCCGAACAAACAATACTAAAAAAAAATCGTGCACTCCTATTATTGTTAAACTTCAGCTATAAATTCGATAATGTTTATGGTCGTTAAAAACGATAAATTTGTTTATCACACCGAGCAAGTAAACGTTTTCACGTGGTTCACTTGTATAAATAGCAAAGCAGCGTCCGATTTCGCATCAAGTGCAAAAAAGTACACGTTCCATTTTACAAAAATGGAAACTAACAAGTGAGAATGAAAGCTGCAAGATTTGTCCTCGTTATAGCAGCAACTGTAATGGTTTCGATGGTTTCCTATGTGACCGCTGAAGCTGATCCTGTGGCGGACCCGGTAATATATTTTATACTATTCGATTTGCTATAAATTTCCTGTTATCTCAATTTTATCGCATTACCTTCCAGAAACCTAATCCTCTAAAGCGAGGTACTGTTTCGTCACTCGTAGGCCGCTAATAATGTTCGAAATAACAATCGAACCAAGCCTATTCTCAATTTGTAAAAAGAATATGGAAATAAAGGGTTAAATAATTAACTTATTTACTAGTTTATTCTTCCACTATCCAGATCCTCGAATGTGTGTGTAAAGTGGTCATCAGAATTCTTATTTTCGACATTTGATTACTTAAAACATTAGATTTGATTAATTGAATTCTAAAGTGCGATGCTGATAAGACACGGCAAATATTTGCAAAAATATATAACAAATTAGCAGAATATAGCAAATTGGCAGAAAAACCGCAATTGTACACAGTGAGTTCAAACTTTTGAAACATGTAAAACTGTGCAGAGGGAGCTAGATTATGGTTGTACCGGCGATAGCAAGAAGCATTATCTATATTATCTGAAGAGGAACGATAAGTTCTCTTGTGGTAATATTTTAACAATTTATATTCCTTCATAAATCTGCCTATAAAAGAAGTAGTAACTGTGGCTATTAAAATTGATAAAATTGTGACAAAACTTCTTTACGTTTCGATAATGTTTCAATAAAATCGATTGTTACGGAAGCTATTATTACCACTATTAAAGAATAATATTCGAAGCACGAGACGACAAGACTGATAGTTGAAGACACCCATCGCTGTATAAATGACAATGCACCGTTTGAATTCGCATAAGTGCACAGTACAATACGTGTTCCAGTTCGGAATAACAAGAAATAACACGCAACCATGAAATCTGCAAAATTTGCGATTGCTGCAGCAGCCACGCTGACGTTCTCTTTAATTTCTTACGCGACAACGTATGCTGTAATATATTTTATATTTGATCATTTTCGATTTTGTTAAAACAAAAACAACTTACGATACCACCTAATATTATTTTTCAGGACGCTGAAGCTATAGACCCGGGAACTGTGAAATCCCTTCTTGGTCGCTAACTCGAAACACTAGATAAAGTACTATGAAGATTTCTCATTTGTCAAATGTATTACGAATATTTCTAATTAATTAAAAATACTAAGAATGTTCCGAAAGTTAAAAGTACTCTGAATGTTCCTAATTTGTTAAAAGAATTATGAAAATAAAGGAATAATTAATCAACTATGTAGTCACTATAAACCCACCCCAACAACCCCATAGTTCATTTATCCAAGAAATAGCTTGAAAAATAATTGCAGACTTTAATTACTTAGTGGAATATTACCAGTGTATAGTAAATATTGACAAAACAATCTGACAGTAAACATAGTTCAGTTATAATTGATATTTTTGATAAAAATTGAAATTGTCTACGTTACGAGAAGGTACAAAAACACTGTAGAGGGAGCTAGATCATAGATGTATCGACGAAAGAGAAAAACACTTTCTGCATTACCTAATGAAGAACACTAGGTTTCTATAGCTAGATCATGGATGTATCGACGAAAGAGGAAAGCATTTTCTGCATTACCTAATGAGAAGAACACTAGGTTTCTATTACTTGCTCCTGGGGTCTCCACAAGTGTATCAAAATGGTGGCATGAAAACTTTGTGTCGGTGTTTTGTGGCACTCGAGATACTTGTTTAATTTAAATAGAAAATGTTATTCCGATTTTGCAAGCTATGCTGCAAGAACACAAACTCATCATTCGTCAGATTTCCCAGGCATTATGTAAATAATTTAATACTTTTTTTTCATATTTTTCTTCTCACTTAGGTTAACTCTGTATAAATTTTTGTATAGGCAAAAGCAGCTGTAAATGCTCGTAACACACGTGCTCGTAAAAAGAAAGTACAATTGCACGATGACGAGTTGTTAGAGTCCTTTAAAGGGAAGATGAAAATAATAGACTGCAGACGAAAGGTTTATGATTTTTATGAGGGTCAAACTTACTCCAGAAAACAGATTATACCATTAGCTAGCCATGGATGGAATCACAGGAAATCTAAAGGCGATTACTTCACCATATACCCCTATTTTGATGTACATTGCTTTCTCAAACGTTATTCATGACTATATAATTTCGTTTCAAAATTAAAACTGTTTCATTTTTATTTTTAGGGTGATAAAGACAATGCGAATGAAGAGCCTATAGCTAAGACATTTGATGATTTTAATTTAGCCCCTGCTTTGTATAATCAATTGGAGAGATTCGACATTAAAGCACCCTTGGAAGTTCAACAACTGGGAATACCAAAAGTACTCTCTGGTAACCATACACTGTTAACAGCAGAAACAGGCAGTGGCAAAACGTTGGCATACTTATGGCCACTGATGACTCAGATATTGCGATGGAAAGAAGTTAGAAAGAATTCTATGAACAACCCATTTGTTTTAATTTTGACTCCTACTAGAGAGCTGGCAGTTCAAATTGGAGTTGGTATTTTGTAATTATAACTGTCGCATGGTCTAACATTATTTGAATTACAAATGTTGCATCTTTCAGATTGAAGCAATCAAATGGTGCAAACCACTGGGTATTACTATAAAAATGATTACTGGTGGAAGGACAAAACTAAAAATACTGAATCCTCCAGTTAATAATATTGACATCCTAGTTGGTAGTTTCGGCGCGATCAGTAAATTGTTCACGGTTGGTGTCTACAGGAAGGATCTAATACGGTGTGTAGTTCTAGATGAAGTGGATGCCTTATTCCACGAAACCTTTGAAGAGAAACTGAAAGTACTTCTTCGAAGATTACCTGTACGTAAACACGATCTCTATGCCGTATAAAATAATGACAGAAAATATTATAACGCGCCTTTGTATATGCAGATAGGATACCATCAAGAATCAATCGACGGGTTCCCGAACACTGTGCAACTCGTTTTAGCTTCTGCCACGGTTCCTTCACGCATGGAAAATGTTTTAGGCGATATTATAAATGTAAGTGAATTAAGATCCAAAAGACAACTTTGATAACACAATTTTGTGATTACTAATAATATTTAGATAAATTCTTTGGACCATGTGACCACGGGAAAGCTACACAAAATATTGGTCCCGCAACGATTTTTTAGAACAATTCCAAGTCAAAAATCGGTCGAGCTCTTGAAGTATATAAAGCCAAAGGTCGCGAAGAAGAAGTCCGTCATTGTGTTCAGCAATTCTACCAATACTTCTTACTGGCTCAAACTGTTCCTGGAAGAATGCGGCGTACCCACTACCAATCTGCATGGCGACATGAGCATGAGACAGCGGATAGGGAAATACGGAGAATTCTTAAACGGTCGTACATATGTTTTATCTACAACGAACGCGGGCTCTAGGGGTCTGAACACCGTGATGGTCAACCACATTCTGAATTTTGATTTCCCGTGGGATACGGCTTCGTACATCCACAGGTAAGCCATTGAAACAATTTGTGTTCGACACTAGCATAAGCTACCGATAATCGATTAATATTTCACGCAGGTGTGGCAGAACCGGCAGAGTAGGCACCTATGGCGATTGTAAAGTAACGAATTTCATAAGTCGACCAAAAGAAATAATACTAACTCAAAAAATCGAATGGGCCGCTAGGAAGATGAAGCCAATACCCATTATTGACCTTGACGCGTCAAAAAAAGCACAAATGCAAGATATGAAGGAGTTCGAGGAGGAAATAGAAGATATCCCTCCTGACCCAGAAATCGAAAATTTGGACCATGTGAAAGATATTCCATTTTGAAGCGTGTACGGCTCTTTCGCTACAAATAAATTAAGCAATCCTGAAGATTAATCAGTAGCCTTCGTTAGCTATCCCCCACTGTCTTCTTGCGTTACACGTGTGCGAAGTTACTCAAGCAAAAAGAGTCTTGGATGAAACCTTTGCAGTGACCCCCGATGGGATCAAAGAATCGACCGAGTGTCGTTGCCCTTCTATCCGATTCGACAAAAAAGAAACTCTCAATCAATCATTCTCCTTGAGACGTAGAAGACCTTGCCATTTGCCATTAATCCAGCGGTTCCAGCGGTACCGTTCTCCGAAGTTATTTTTATTTATACGATCGCGGATATTCGGACCAGAGCTTTCTAACGATGCTTTAGGATTTTCAAAGTTACGGTTGGAGGAAGGAAACGATCACGACCCACACGTGCGTGCCCATCCATCCGTCGATCCAATGTTCCATCATGTCCGGCGACACTCCCACACTCGCCGCCTACGTATAGCAAATAGAACTGCCGCGAGGCAGACCGTGCGTCTAGACCAGTTTATTAATCGCATTGTGTTTTAGTGAAATTAAACTCGCTCGTGGGCATTCGTGCTCCCATGATTAGGGAGTGTCGACGGTTGTACATTCGAGTCCTCTGGAGAGCACCGTCGCTCTTGGCAATTATATTTGCGACCGAAAATATGCCTACAATTATCGTCGGCCTATAAAAAAATTAAAGGAAGGTATTATACAGGTAGATTTCAAGTATTTCAACCGCTTGATGGATGAGTTATAATTAATATCAGGTCTTTAAATTTAATGTGATTTTTTAGATAATAAAATATGGATCGTATATATGTTATTTAAGAGTTCGATTCTTTGCTTTAAGGAAAATGTTTCAATATCTTCGGAATCGTCGTCGATAAAGTATTAATAAAGCGACGAGAGGAGACACGCGACCAGCGTACCGAAGAAAATGAATTGATCGAATCATGAACAAAGAGAATCAGATCAGAGCATCCATTGTGAGAGGTTAAATCGTGTCAAGTACGAGTACCGATGAACTTTCAGTCTAAAAGAACTCTACAGTCGATTGTTCGTCCAAACGGCTCTATACATATATATATAATTCCTTACGGTAGCTATCGCTAAAGGACCATTGTTCTCCAAATTTATTCGAACGACTTAGACCTGCTTTCAACTTTCTCAAAGCGCAACAGTTTTCTTAATTCAGTTCTACACACTTACCTGAAAATGTAGGTCAATCTTATCTTCAACATCTTCGAATGATGGAAGATCTGCATCCCCAATCGGCAACCAGTTAGTTGTCCGCTCCTTCGCAATCACTCCAAAAATATACATTTCTCTTCTCTTTGTAGTAAACTGCTTTGGAACGTACGATTAAAGAATTAGTAATATAAGTCTGATTTTTACGAGAACATAAGAAAGTAGAACATTTGAGAGAACATTGTTCTAATTAACGTTTCAATTGATATTTTTAATAAGCGACATTCGATTTTCTTATCCCCTCTTCCTTCTCGAATTTTCTAATTATCAAGTGCGTCAAACTAGAAGTGTTCACCTAGCAAGCGGCTGCTAGGGTAGCGAAACAGGAACGAACCTTCGCGCTGGGGGATGTTCTCGCAAATGATTAGACGGAATACAATTTAACGAAAGAGACCGGTACAGATGTTACGAAACAAGAATCATACGATTGAAAGTACGATAACAATTTACGTTCCCCGAAGCGGGACGTCAGAGCGCAAAAAGTTGCAAAACGGTAAACACCACCCCTCCGGGAAAGCAAAGTTATCCAGCTAGCTGCGTAGACGGTTAAATGAAAACAAGGGAACCCCGAGCTCCGAATAAGAAACGGTGCTCTTGGTGACGTCTTTCGAGGTTCCCGAAGCTCCCCCGAAGACGCGACCCGCCAATCCTGCCGCGTACCCTTCCCAACCACCCCTCAGTCTGAAGTGGGGTGGTTGGCTATTGTGACCATGGTATGCCGGGTCTGTTCCGCGGAACATGCTATAGTAAGGAGAGGTAGGGGGGGATCTATAGTTCTGAAAGGCACGCGCTTTCAGCCGGATGGAGGGGATGCCGATGACCGGCCTAGTAGAAGGGAACTCAGTATAGTGGCGGCGCGCAACCTGTTAGCGTCGTTTCGTCGTGTTGCGTTCCGTGTCCGTTTGTCGTCGACATTTACGTCGTCCGTTCAGCTGCGTCGCAGTGATCCACGGATCCGTCCGAAGATCGATCTACGCCGCCCGGAGTGCCAAGTACTAATCGTCGCCGATAATCCGGTCGATCCAGGATCCGGACAGCCAAACCGGAGAGATCCTTGTCGCGGCACCGGGAAGGAGGATCGATCGCGGGGGAAGGATCTACAGTGATCGAGCCACGACGAGACGCGTACCAGTTGGTTCGTGCCGTATCCACGGAGTGGAGTCGTGTTCTATGAGGTTGCCCGCGATCCGTCCTGCGCCCGAGGAAACACGAGTGCGTCGTGTCCCGGTGATTCATAGATCGCGGCGTCGTCGATCGGGCCTCGCGTGTCCAGTGCGGTTGTGGGAAGAGAGACAGCGGCGGGAGGAAGCGACCGAAGGAATGCACCGTGTGCACGAGCGGTGCAGTTCGCCGATTTGGTTTATTTAGTGGTCGCCGAGACCGGAAGCCGCTATATTGGAGAGGAAGCGGGAAAGCGGCGTGCCGCTGTTCTGTGTACCGAGGCAGAGGCGATCGTCGCAGCCGGAAAATGTGAGTACCGTGTTGATAGCATGCTCTTATCGGTACGATCTGCCGCACTATGAAAGCCCCTTTGCCCCTCTACCACCATGGAATACCGATAGCCGAAGGTCACCGGTGTTCATTCAGAACACGTCGCGGGGCCCCGACACCGATTATGCACGGGGGTGCCTTCTGTTATTCGACGGTGTTTCTCTGTTTTCTCGGCAAATCGAATTTATGGAAAAGCCGTTCGAAATTCTCCTCCGTGACCCGGCTTAATTAATTGGACTAATGTGACGCAACAGGTTCTTTCGAGAGCGTCGTTTTAAAGGGAAGCTGCCGGGACACCGTCGCGATGCCGTCGACGACGTCGGGACAGTGAATCTTTGAAAATTTGAGAGCGTATCGCTCGATTCTGTACGCGAACGAATGGTGTGCCCCGTTCGTTCTCCACGTTCTCCACTCTCCGACACGAAATCTGGTTCTCCGAGGAAAATCAGCTCTTTGGAAAGTCCCAGACCGCGAAGGGTTAACAGTCACTGATCTATGAACTTATATTATATATTATGAACTTGTATATATTTTTTTGAAAAAATTGCAATACCGAATTCATCTTGTTAAATAAGATCGAGTCATCTTAGAACGGTCCGTCGAATGAAAGGGGGTGGAAATTTTCGGAGCTGCCTTCATAACGTAGCGGGTCCGAGATGACCCGAGGTGCACGGTGGACCATGCAGTCCATTTAATTACGCTCGCACGATTCTGTTTGGTAACATATTTGTCTCTGTTGGCGCATGCTTGCTGCGAGTAAAATTTGCTAGGCAGACGATCGTGCTCTGTGCCGGGTTGAGTGCCAGCCGCGCTAAGCAAGGGTTGAAGGAGCAGCGATTAAGGAAAGAGTAACGATTTTCATCGTGGATCCCACGGACTGTTCAGGCAGGGTTAATGGCACTTTCATGCGGCACGGTTACACGCAATTATAAAGCGGAGTACCGAACCCCTCGTTAGTTCTTTTGTATGCCCCGCGCTCGCCCCGAAGATTAAACATCGAACGCTATATTTCATTTCGAGCCGGACCGAATGGGTTTTGTATTTATTAGGACGAGGGGTTGATTATCGGAGCTAACTGTTCGCGGACGATCGCGAGATCTGTCGACGAAGCAAGAATCGAAAGTTCGAATCTCTGCGTTGTCCAGCCACTTGGTGTTCGATAAATGTCGAGAAGCAAGTTATTCAATTCGAATTAACAGGGAAATTACGTCTGCGTTTGCTACGAATGTTAACGCTAAATCTACCAACGCTGATCAAACGACCCGTTTTATATATCTTATTTCGTAATTATTGAAATCACAGGGGTGTTTCTACGAAAAACTGATGCGATCGATTTCTTTGTTCCAGTAAAGATCGCATAAAATCGAAATAAATTCAATCTCGTCATTTTTCTCAGGAAAATTATTCCAGTTGCTTTTCCGACGCTTGATAAGTTTACTGTCGAACATCGAACAGTGTCGTATTTCAACTCGGATCAGGCGCATAATTATTAGAACGTGAAATTGAACGTGAAAATAAACCTTGACCAATTTCGCGTACAATTCCGTATCCAGCGGCTTCTAACGCGGTTCGAAGGTCTCGAGAAATTGCTAAACTTGCTCGCGGAGTTTTAACAGTCGCGCCGAGAGTCTTCGCTTTGCAATTTAAATGGACAGCAGTGAAATCACTGCGAGTTTATCGTAAAATGCACTCTCGTACGCGTTGTTCGAACGCGTTGTCGTCCGTCGCTTCTGCGATCCCGAGAGGAATAATTTCGTCGCGTTCGCTCGACGATTAAAACCAACGTCGCGGAGACACGTGCATCGCACGGAAATACAGTTAAAGTAGTCGGGACGAGGGAAGATCGCTTAAGATCGACGTGTACGAACACGCTTTTGTGGGCCAGCTTACGTACGGCCGCGGCGGTTATGGCAGGCAAGAGAATCCGCGTCCTAGTACTCGCGTTACGATCACCTTCGCAACGCGTCACGGTCCGTTACGTTCCGTTTCTTCTCCGGCAGCTATCAAGAGAGACGGTTTAAAAGCTTGATTCCTCGCCTATGTTTGTACACATAATGCGCGTTTCTGTACGGGCATTTACCGCCGCGGCTGGGAGCAGCAAAGCGGCGCTCGATTTGACTCGCGAGTTTCTACCAGCCGTTAACCGAACCGCCAATTACCTCCAATTACACCCGGGAACCGAGAAACACCGTGCGATCGTGGCAGGCCTTCGAAATTCGCAGCGAACGCCTCGTACCCGCGACACCAACGGATTATACGATGCCGTAGGCATCCGAGAACTAGAATCGATGGATTCCTCCGAGTCGCATTGCTTTGATGCGGTTCAACCAGCCGAGCTATAAAACCGACGCGCGTTGTTTCATAAGAGACGCGACGTGTGGCTGGATTTATTTACACCGTCCGCCATTTTCTTTGTAATTCGAGACCCGGTTCGGATTGTCGTTCGATAGAAAAGAACCGTTTGGTATTTATCGCGCGCGGCCATGTTTACACGATTAACCCGACGAGCACCTTCGCTGTTCAGATTCACGTAAGTGTACATATAGATTTCTATACGATTCGAAAACGGCTGATTTTATGTACAGAAATAATTGTTTTCGGTGACAAATAAAAGATCGACGTACAGACACGAACGCGAGAGAATGCAACGTGTATGCGATTGTTGTTGCTATTATACCCGATCATATGGTTGTATTTATTTAACCGAACGACAGAGTCGGAGTGCAAATATTACGCGCGGCGTGGGAATCTACCCCCGCGACCACCCCTCGGGGGTTGAACGCAGTTATACGTTGGTGACGCGAATACGGAATTTAATTTCGATCTTAAAAAATCGGAGTTACATTCCTAGCCGTCAAATATATTACTAGAAACCGCCATCATGCACCGGAGATGATTTCATCATTTCCGAAAGTCTTCGTTTTCGGGTGGAAAAACTCGTTAATTAATTTTCGTTCGATTATTTCGCAATAATTTCAACAATTAAGTAAATAAAGTTTCAAAGTACAGTAATGTCTCTAAAGAAATCTAAAGAAAACGCTATCAGAAGATGTTATCAGTTTCGCGGGTGCACAATGCTGGAGAACGAAGCTTTCCGACCGCGTTCGAACAGAATCAGCGGGAACATTTTCAGCGTGATTCGCACGGCGAGAGAAGCAATGGGAATTAACGATAAAGAGCAATCTTACGCGAGAGAGTCAGGTTTCGACTTTCTTCAGGGTACGCGACGCGGAGTCTCGCCGGTTGACCTTTCCCCGTGGCCCGTTCGCGATCGAACAGCCTTTTCATCCTCTCGGAGGTCTCCGAGTCGCACGCGAGCACCTTTTTCACACGTGCCGCCACGGGCAGCCTCGAATGGATTACATACTTTGAAATCATCGACGATCGCGGTTCGCCGACTATGCTTTCGTCGAAACGAGATCACCGACATCGAGAGTTTCATTGATCGTTCAATGACACTATGGAAGAAGCATCGGCGAACTTTTTCATCGACGCTCATTCTGCTGACCTAAATTTAACCTAACGTAACGTAGTCCTGACCTAACAGAATAAGTCTCGATAATTTCGTAGTTGTTGGCGAATGCGTGCTGTCGATGAACTCGCGACGATGAATTACGTGGTCGGTGAAATGATTGCCGGCGATTTCAAAGTGCCGGGAATTTCTCCCTAATTCGCGCTCAAATTTCGCACGAAAATGGACGATTTGGGAAGAGGGAGAGCCTCGCGGCTCGGTTTTTATAGTCGTTGACAATCGAACACTGTGAAAAGCAACTGCAAATAAACTATAAAAGTAACTATAAATATTCGAATAATCGTATTAATTATAATACGATTCCTCTTCCAAAATTCTCCATCTTTGTGTACAATTTGAGCGTCAATTAGGGAGAATTTAGCGTAACCCGCCACGGCGATTTCAAAGTGCAGGAATTTCTCCCTGATTCGCGCTCAGATTGCGCACGAAAATGGACAATTTGGGAAGAGCAACCGTGAAAAGCAACTGCAAATAAACTATAAAAGTAACTATAAATATTCGAATAATCGTATTAATTATAATACGATTCCTCTTCCAAAATTCTCCATCTTTGTGTACAATTTGAGCGTCAATTAGGGAGAATTTAGCGTAACCCGCCACGGCGATTTCAAAGTGCAGGAATTTCTCCCTGATTCGCGCTCAGATTGCGCACGAAAATGGACAATTTGGGAAGAGCAACCGTGAAAAGCAACTGCAAATAAACTATAAAAGTAACTATAAATATTCGAATAATCGTATCAATTCAATAATCGTGTTAATTATCGTATCGAATAATGGTATCTCCTCTTCCGAAATTCTCCGTCTTTGTGTACAATTTGAGCGTCAATTAGGGGAATTTAGCGTAACCCGCCACGAATCGCAGCGATCTATTCGATGCCATAGTAATCGGCCGGTGGTGGCTCCCCTTTTCGTAGCCGAGGAGTCGCGTGGTTTCGTTGACGCGATAACTTGAAACTCGTAATTACGTTCCGTCGTAATTTTCGACGAACGGTCGCGTGGGCCGCGAATTCCTACCACCCACGCGAACCCCGCCGAGCAACAAAGAGGCCTCCGCACCGGCGCGTCCCGGAGAGGGATGCGGCGCGACTGCGTTTTCCCGTGGAACAATGCACGTCGAACGATCGTAAATAGACTGTGCACCTTCATGCAAATTGCCGCGCACGTAACGCTGCATTAATCGGAATTCGGAAAGGACTGATTCATGAATCCTCCGCGACGCGGTACGCTATTTCATTTACGCGTCTCTTTGTTGTAAATCGCGTCTTGCGGGAGCGGTTGTCATAACTGGACTGTGAACCTCCATGCAAATACATTCTAATACATTCTGACGCATTCATTCATAATCTCTACGATCTCTCGTTCCAAAAACGATTTGTCTGTTTTACGAACTCGTCCAGCCATGAAATCTGCAATTTATAAATCAATATCGATATCCGCAATTTTCGATTAAAACGGTGCACCTAACAAACAGATTCGCCAAGTAAATTATTAACAAATACAACGATATTGCGAATATAATATTATTGCAAATATCACGACGATCGCACACAGGTTATTATGCAATAATGTACAATGATCTGTTAAGTAATCGTACACGATATATTTCGAAAAATATTCAATCACATGTGTCAACAAATTTCACGAGGAAATCATCAAAATTCCACGAGGAAATTGATTGCAAACGCTCTGAGTCAATAAAGAGAAGAATGAATCAATATTGAATTGATAAACGTCGAAAGAATTTCCAAAATAAGCGACCGCGACTGGTAGAAAACGATTAATCACGAGAACTAATTATATGTAGTCCTTAACAATTAAAATACTCGCTCGGTAAATAAAAACCTATTGTTTCGCATGCTAAGCAAGCGAACGCGGACAAGCGAGCTGCGGTCAATGTCCCCCGTCTCGGTGCAACAGCGATAAAAGCAAACGCAGCCTGAATTTTCCGAAAGACGTTTAAAAAAGAATGGTGTCCCTGTTATGAAAGAAGCTACCAGGAATTTGTGGGTATCCCGGAGTGACCGTTACAAGGCGAGAGAAAGAGAGGGACAAGCCTTTGTGTCACTCGCATACAATGTTATTGTATTCCCGGCACGTATAGGCAATGGGAGTTCGTTATTACGCCTACTTCCGGTTGCTGGATCGTCGCCGGGACTTGCCTCGGGGCTCGGCGCGATGCTCGGAGTGCATCTCGGGACCGTTTTTCCACGCGACAATGAATTTCGGGATGAAAAATACGAGGTGCTTCTGTGATTCTCGGTCCTCGGATCCGGGGACGAGGGCTCGGGGTGTGGGATCTAGGGGGTAGGGGGCTGGCATCTTGAGCCTGTAATTTCGAGGCTGGCATATCTGGAACGGAGAATTTATTGGATAGAATGTAGAGTCTAGAATTTTAGTCTAAGACTTGGAGACCAAAATTAAAAATCTGAAACTTGCAGACTAAAATTTAAAATCTAAAATTTAGAGGCTAAAATCTGCAGAATAAAATTCGGTGGATAGAATTTGGGGGATAGAATCTAAGGGGAAGAATTTGGAATTTAGAATTTAAAGCCTAAACTTTAGAGCTTAGAACTTGAAGTCTAGGATTTATAATCTACAATTTAAAGTCTAAAATATATAATCTAGAATTTAGAATATAAAATTTAAAGCCTAAACGTTTAAAACCTAGAATTTAAAGTGTAGAATTTATAATCTAGAATTCAAAGCCTAAGATGTATAATCTAGAATTTAAAATGTAAAATATAGAATCTAGAATTTAAAATCTAAAATATAGAGTCTAGAATTTAAAGTCTAAAATGTAGAATCCAGAATTTGATGTGTAAAATGTAGAATCTAGAACTTGAAGACTAATTTGTAGAATCTAGAATTTAAAGTCAAAGATATAGAATCTAGAATTTAAAGTCTAAATTGTAGAATCTAGAATATAAAGTCCAGGGACTAGAATTCAGATTGAAGAATTCAGAAGCCGGGATCTCAGTGAACTCCGAGAAGGCTAGGATCGAGGGGCTCTGAACGAAAGATCTTTGGTATCGTTAGGCGAGACCCGATACTCGAAAATACCGTGGACGGACGCGCCAGCCCCGCTGGAATTTTCGAACAGCTGCAGGCGCATACCTAAGCGATACCTCGACCACAAGACCCAGGTCTACAAAAAAGACCGCTCGTAAACTCGGCCAGGATTCGCCCGACTCGAGTTGACTCTTTATCCTTTATCTCCTTTCAAACTTGACGGTACCACGATCCAGAATTAGGGGACTTTCGCGTGCAAGTTGCGATGACTGATCAGAACCGATACTGTTGTTTTATGACATTGTTTCACGACAGTGTCAAGATTCGATTTATTTAAACTTCGTGCGGTAGTATAGAAACATTTTTGTAAAATCTGGAAGTATCATCAATGTTATTGATATCAAATAATAATTATTAATACAAAATAACAATTATTAATGTAAAATAATAATTATTAATGTAAAATAATATTTATTAATATAAAATAATAATTATTAATATAGTTAATAAATGAATAATTCTACCAAGATGCAAATAATGTTTTTAAATTCCTTAAGTGCTTCCACTGGTTCACAGATGACCTGTTAATTTTCGTTAGAGATCTCCCATCCGTTAACGACCTTTGGAGTAACATCATGCAAATTTTGCGAAGAAAGGAACATCGACGTAAATTGTCTCCGTGTTGTTTGATCGAGGGCGCGGCTTGATAAATAATTCGTAGCGACTGTGGCCGCCTTTCGGCTTCCACGGTGTTCTCCCTCGTAGATACGGATTAAATGGACGCGAATGGGGCAGCGTGACACGAGTAGCGGTATGAATCGCCGATACAGCTAATCCTCTCGCCGGCGATAGAGTTTCTCGCAGCCTAATGGCTGGAAAGGCCGTATTACGGCCGGAGCATATGGCCGAAGGTAGCGGTGATCGTTTCGTTTGTCAGCCAACTGCTTCTCCGCACCGGTGTTGCAGCTCTGGTTCCCGTACTCGCTAGA